CCCCCCCCCCCCCCCCGCTGACGGATGTGCCAGCTTACCTCCGCTGGGCTCCTCACCTCCCTGCCCGGAGATCTCGCTTCAGACGCCGGGGAAAACCTGCTGGGCGGCTGATAAAGCTTAAAGCCGTGCACTCTGCATCTTCCTCTTCAGCTGGTGGTCATGGTTTCCATTTCTAGCTTCCCGCGTGCCTGGACCAGCTAAACAATGGGAGTTGTCAGCTGGTGCGCAGCTCGGACCGACCCGGAAGGGCTGTTATTGAAAACCTGATGCGCGCGAACTTCACCGCTGCTGGCTCCACTTTGGACAGTATCCGGATGTGTTTGGTCAACGTAAGATCTGTTACCAACAAAACTTTTATCCTCAGGGACTACTTTCAAGAGTACGAGTTGGACTTTTTCTGCATCACAGAGACTTGGATGTCTCTGGGTGAGTCCAGCGCCTTGATAGAATTATCGCCACCAAACTGTTTGTATTTTAATGCACCGTGGCCATCAGGCCGGCGCGGTGGTGGATTATTAACAATATTCAAACCAACTTTTGACTGTAAACAACTGCCCATCCCAGTTTCCCACGCCAGCTTTGAGCTGAGTGTCTTTGAACTCAGCCACTCGCCTGCGACATTATTTGCACTCGTCTACCGCCCACCTCGATCTAAGGATTTCATAAATGAGTTTTTTGATTTCTTGGCTGAAATAACTCCAAAATATAATCATGTTTTAATTTTTGGGGACCTTAATTTGCATGTGTGCTGTCAGGAGAAGCCCTTGGTTAAGGACTTTTTAGATTTATTGGACTCATTTAATCTAACGCAGCATGTAAACGGTCCTACCCAAGAGCGCGGACATACACTGGACCTTGTTTTAACTTGTGATGTGACTGTTAGTAATCTTGAAATTGGTGATGTTTTTTCAGACCACATGCCAGTCCGGTTTGAGTTCACCCTCCCCCATCTAACTCCTAAGTCGTGCGTTCCTGCACGTAGTAGCCGGGCCATTAACCACTTCACTGCCACACGTTTCACAGATGTTTATAACTCTGAAATGATAATTCAGCTCCCGGTGTTTCTCACTACCATGGAGGCACTGACATCCCTCTGTCTGCTTAAAGACTCTGGATCATGTTGCGCCTGTTAAAACCAAAAAAATCAAAACTCAGAGCAGAACCTAAGCTGAGTGAAGTCACCAAGGCCGTTAGGCAGCAATGTAGGAGGGTGGAGGGAAAGTGGAGGATAGACAGGCTGCAGGTCTCTTTTCAAATACTTAAAGAGAGTTGGAGCCATTATCAGAAAACAGTGAAAGCTGCTAAATCCATATACTTCTCTGATATAATTACCTCAAACTCTCGCAACCCACGTGTCCTCTTCTCTACCCTAAACTCTGTTCTCCACCTCACTGAACCATTACCTCTGGAAGCCTCGACTGAGCTGTGCGACAACTTCTTACATTTCTTTTTGGAAAAAATTGCGACCACTCTGGCTCTCATTTCCCCTCCAACTCATGACCCATCCATCCCACCTCAATCTGTAGCTCTGTTTGACCTTTTTGAACCCATCACTCTATCTTCTTTAGAGCAGGTCATGTGCAGCTTGAAACCTTCTGGTTCCCCCTTTGATGTGGTCCCCCCTCAACTACTAAAGGAGTTTTTTCCTACTCTAGGTCCCTCCATTCTTGCCCTAGTAAACAGTAGTTTATTGACTGGCGTGGTGCCAAAAACCTTTAAACATGCTGCTGTCCAGCCTTTCCTGAAAAAGCCAAACCTTGACCCCTCAGTCATATCCAACTTCCAGCCTGTCTCCAAACCCATTTGTTTCAAAACTACTGGATAAAATAGTCGAGTCCCAATTGAAGTGCTTCCTGGAGGGTCACTCCATCTTAGAGCTATTCCAATCTGGCTTTAAACCTCTCCGTAGCACTAAAACTGCCCTATTGAAGGTTTTTAATGACATCTTCAGATCCACAGATACTGGTGATTCTGTGCTGCTTGTCCTATTGGACCTCACAGCCGTCTTTGACACCATCGACCATGAGATCCTCATTGCTAGGTTGGAGCAGTGGGTGGGCATCACAGGGTCAGCCCTCAATTAGTTCAGATCTTACCTCGCTGACAGATCCTTTTGTGTCTCCATCAAGGAGTTTAGTTCTGCAGCGGCAGAGCTTAAATGGGGGGTTCCGCAGGGGTCCATCCTGGGTCCCCTCCTATTATCTTTATACCTGCTGCCGCTTGGTGCTATTTTCCGGAAACACAACATGCCTTTCCACTTCTACGCCGATGACTGTCAAATTTACTTCCCCCTAAGACACAATAGCACATGCTCTATTCAACCTCTGCTCGACTGCCTAGCTGACATCAGGGACTGGATGGCTTTAAATTTCTTAAGTTTCAATGAAAAGAAGTCTGAAGTAATGTTGTTCCCTCCCAATGACACGATCACAAACCACTGTATTGACCTCTCCGCTCTAACCCTGTCAGACAAACAAAGAGTCACTAATCTGGGAGTGATAATGGACCCTTCCCTGAAACTTAACAGTCACGTAAACATGATTGTTAAATCATGTTTCTTCCAACTGAGGCGGCTGTCTAAACTGAGGCCCATATTGTCCAAAAATAACCTGGAGACAGTAATACATGCATTCATTACATCTAGGCTTGATTACTGCAATTCACTCCTGTTTTGTATCAGTCAGACCTTCATTGCACGACTACAACTTGTCCAGAATGCAGCAGCCCGATTTTTAACCAGTACAGGCAAAAGAGAGCACATTACACCAGTTTTGGCCTCACTGCACAGGCTACCGGTTCACCTTTGAATCCAGTTCAAAATACTTCTGTATGTCTACAAATCGCTGAACAGTTTCGCCCCCCCCAACCTCTCTGATCTGCTACAACCGTATGTCCCACCACATTCCCTGAGGTCAGCGGACCAGTTGCTCCTCACAGTTCCAGGAACTCGTCTTAAGCGCAGAGGGGACAGGGCCTTCTCTGTAGCAGGACCAAGACTTTGGAACGAGTTACCTCTGCTTGTCAGACAGGCCCCCTCCCTCTCGGTTTTCAAGTCCCGTTTAAAAACCCACTACTATTCAGTAGCTTTCCACACCAGAGGATCTGTGTTCTGAACCTGTATGCTTCACACTGGTAAGTCATCATTATCTGCATCGTTTTTATGTCTATATTTCTGATTTACTTAATTTTGTATATTGCTTTGTGTGTTACCTGTTGTTCTGTCTGTACAGCGCTTTGGTTGGCCTTGTCGCTGTTTTAAGTGCTCTATAAATAAAATGGTATGGTATGGTATGGGAAGGGGGACCCACGTCTCCTCTTTGGGCTGTGCCCGGCCGAGCTCCATAGGTAAAAGCCCGGCCACCAGGTGCTCGCCCACGTGCCCCACCTCCAGGCCTGGCTCCAGAGTGGAGCCCCGGTGACCCACGTCCGGGCGAGGGAACCTCAAGTCCATTTCTTTTTCTCAACATAGGGGTGTTTGGGCTGCACTTTGTCCGGTCCCTCACCTAGGACCTGTCTGCCTTGGGTGACCCTGCTAGGGGCGTGAAACCCCTGACAGCATAGCTCCTAGGATCATTGGGACACTCAAACCCCTCCACCACGATAAGGTGGTAGCCCAGGGAGGGGATCCAAGTACTCAAAATGAGTTGTTTTTTTCTGCAGGGTAGCTGGACTGTCCCTTAGAGATAGGGTGAGAAGTTCAGTTTTCCATGAGAGACTTGGAGTAGACCCACTTCTCCTCCACACTGAGAGGAGCCAGTTGAGGTGCTTTTAGCATCTGGTAAGAATGCTCCCTGGGCACCTCCCTAGGGAAGATTTCTGGGCATGTCCAACTGGAAGGAGATCCCAGAGAAGACCTAGGACATGTTTGAGAGTCTGTGTCTCACAGCTGGTCTGAAATGCCTTGAGGTTCCCCCAGAAGAGCTGGGAGAGGTGGCTGTAAAAAGAGATGTCTGGACCTCCCTGATCCAGCTGAAACCCCCAGGACCTGACTCCAGAACCAGATGATGATGGACAGTAGCTAAAAGTAGCTTTTACACCAGATATCCTTCCTGACTCAACAACTGAGCTACCACAGCCCTCTGTGTAGAGTAGAGGGCTACTATCTGAGGTGACAGGGAGCAGCTGGGGGGGGGGGGGGGGGGGTTATGCACCCAGAGTGAGGCAAATGAAAGTAGAGACAAGTGTGAGTGTTTTACCTTTCTCACCCAAATTTTGGTGTGACTTTTTAGTTTTTGGTCATTTTTGGGAATTTGACCCTGCAACTTGCATCACAGTCTCGTCTTCTCTAAATTTTGCGTCACCACTCCCCCCAGTAGCAAAAAGTAGCTCTACTGTAGCTACGAGATGAAGGTGGCAAAACAATAGCTGAGTAGCAAAACCGTAGCTAAAAGCTAAATTTGGAAAACGGTGGTTAAGAAAGAAAAAGGTAGCTAAGAGAAGCAAAACTGTAGCTAAACCTCACAATCCCAAGCTAGAACTACCAAAATGGTTGCTAAAATTAGTAACATTGGTGTACAAATGAGAGAAAAAAACAATATATATATATATATAT